GGCGTGCTCCGTCCCGGCTTTGTAGGGATGCGAGGTCAATGGTCTAGAGTAAATGTGCCGATTAAGGACCACTTAGCGGAGCCCCCGCTCTGAGAGGTCGTTCTCGGGTGTCTTGACGATTTGTGGCGACAGAGAGGTATCGCACGTTAGCTTATAACACGACCTAAACGATGAAACAACAAAAAAAAAAAATGCATGTGGTGATGACATGTTGCCAGCGTAGTATTCTCCATTTGTCAGGGAAAAACACCGGTGAAACACAAATGCCCCGATCAAGGACCACTTCGAATTCGTAGTGATTGCGCACGTTCTAATGATTTCCAGAACTTTTCCTTTGGCAAGTATCGTTATGGTAGTAACACAAAGCATTTCCGAAAAAAATCTTCAATAAAACATGCATGCCCGGGGACAAAAACAAGAAATCCCTGTGTTTTTTTACCTGTTTTTGGGCCGAAAATGGCCTACTTTGGGCACCACGCAAAGAGATTTCAAGTGTTTTTCGCCCGTTTTTTCTTCGGCATCGTGGCAAGCACCCCTAGAATAGAGACCATACAAATTTTTGTTGTCATCCGGGTTGATTTAGTCGCTATCTGACATACAGACGCGATTTTTGCCCCCATTTGGACGAAAATCGAGGGGGCAAAATAGAAAAAAAGGAAAAAGCGGATGAAAAAACAAAATGCATGGTCTCAAGTTAGAACCTACCTCATGCTGGGTCTATGGGGAGCACTAAAACACTGGACCACATAGTGGTCTACACGTGCTCGGAGAACTGCCATTATAGACTATAGGTCAATATTTTCTGAATATTTTGACCTGGCTTAGCCGGAGCCACCACACAGCACCCAAAAAAAAAAGCATACATCACCTGGCACAGAATGCTGTGTAGAACGAAGTCCTCCACCAAATTGAGTAAACTTGGGCTTGAATGACAGGTGAGGTCCATAGCAGCACGAAGAAAAAAACAGAAAGGCTTTCCGCGATGGTATCGGCAAGACATGTTTTTTTGAAAAAAGTGGTCCCCAATAGGGGGGTGGTCCTTAATACCCACACTGACTCTAACGACTACGGCATGCACGACTATGAGTACACCCCCCCCCGGTGTCGCAGTACCTGAGTGAGTCGTCTGAGGATAGTTGGGAAACGTACAGGGCCAAGAGAAAACAGGTGAAGGGACTAGTGAAAAGAAGAAAATGTGTATTTGGGACGAAGTAGTGCAGAAGGCCAACGGAGGCCTGGAGGGGAACGTCAAGCAGATGTGGGAAGGGATTCATCTTTTGTGGAATGGCAAAAAAGACCGCGCAAGGGGGGGATACAGGGGTAGCAACTTTGCGAGGTGTGAACGGTGGATTAGTCAGCAGTGGGAAGGGAAAAAGGGAAGTTCTAGCAGGACACTACAAGAGACTTGGAGTGCCCTCGGAGAATGAAGCTTTTGACCAAGCGTTTAAGAAGGAGGTGGACGCATGGGCCCAAAAAGAAGAAGAGACATCGAAGGCAGACGTTGGGAACGTAGAACTAGAAAAGGAGTTCACTGAGGACGAGGTTGAGGCGTGTGTGAACAAGCTGAAGTGCCACAAAGCAGCAGGAGCGGATGGGATCGTCAACGAGTTCATGAAGTTTGGGGGGAAGGAGATGATCCAACTGATGGTAGACTACTGCTAAAGACTACAATTGGGTGTGGAAAAACGAGTACA